TTTTTTATATTTTATATTTTTAATTTTTAATAAAATTACTTAAAATTAAATAATTTTTTTTGCGATAAATAAAATTACTTAGTAAAATATTAATATAATGAAAACTTAGTTGTAATAAAATATAAATTTTAAAATTAATCTCTTTTAAAATAATTTCAATTTTATAAATAAAAAATAAAAATATATAAAGTCAAATTTTAAAAATTATTCAATATTTTTTTTCACTAATAGCTTTATTTAAAATAAAATCCACTACTAGTTATTTTTAAGAAAAAATATAAAAAAATAATTATAATAAATAGTAGATATTCACATGTTGAATACCATAATACCGGTACCCATACAATTAACATCCAGATAATTAAATATTTGTATCTTGTCGTGAGTATCCATTAAAGATATTAATTTAGTATTGTCTTATATGGAGGAATAGTAGCGTATTTACATAGTTTTAGGTTATATATATTGTACTATGTTTATGTTGGTATTAATTTAATGTAAAACTTAGCCTCAAGAACTAGAATATAAAATAGAAGGTGGTGGTTATTGAAAAAAAAAACAATTTTTTAATTAAATTCTTGTTTTATTATATATGATTTGATTCATGCATCAAAGAGATTAAAAGTTATAGTTAATTCCTTTTATTTGAAAGCATGGATTAAACAGTTATAGTTAATTCCTTTTATTTGGAACCATTAATGTAATTGATGTTATCGTGCACATAGTAAATGTTGTAAAAATATTCATTAGATGTTGCTGAACATTTACAATGAGTAACATATATAAAAAATAGAATATTACGAAAAATAATTTAGTTGAATAATGTTATCTTCATTAAAAAAAATTACCAACAGGCAATACTTTTATAATATTATTTTTTAATTAAACAACATTAGTAACGTTAATTTTCTATTAAAAATGTCATTAAAATTGTTTAGTAATACTTCTATCAATGTTACTAATAAAAATTACTAGTTAGATAAAGCACAATTAATATTTATAAATGATTTTCATGATATTCCTTACATTACATGGTTTCTTATGGGTACAATTATCTTGGTACCCAATAAAATTTTACACACTTTACATGTTAATTTATTAAATGGGATCAATTTATGTGTAATGAGGTTAACTTTAAAATATAATAAGATTTGGTGAAGTCGTGCAAAGGAAGACAAAAATATGAGTGTGTAGTTCTATCAAGTATAGTACAACCTCAGTTCAGATGTCATGAGTTAATACAATTTTAAGATGTTTTTTTAAGTAAAATGGTCATACTTAACACGATTTCAGAGTAAAGTAATTTTTGTTTAGAATTTAATATTTTTTTAAAGTAAAGTTGTCAAAATTGCTTTATGTTTTTTTGTTATGTTAAAGTCATTTTTACTACTATGACTTCAATTGTGAAAATTTTTTTATTTTTTTTTACAAAAAATGAATTCTATATTTTTTTTTAATTTTTATTCTATGTTTCAATGATATTTATTTTGTTTTTTTTACTTAATTAATTCAATAATTTAATAAAGAATTTATAACAATTTTTATTTTTTAAGATTTTAATTTAATAATTTATAGTGATTTATATTAATAAGAATTTGTAAACATCCTTTTTAGTAGTATAAAGCTATTAAAATAAAATATTACATTGATGATAACTTACCAAAAATTACAAACTTCCACCGAAGGAGAGCTTACACTTTGGAGAACAAAACTCTATTTATGATTGTGGCTATCCTCTTAATCTCACGCTGAAAAGACTGAAAATGTATTTATCCAATAAGATATATTAGTTATACTTACAATATTATGATTACATTTTTATTTTATATATTTCCAAGTGCAAAAAAAAACTAAATTGTATAAATAATTTGAGAAGAACTGTCCCAGAAAAAATATTTAGTTGAGTTAGAGTGAAAGAATTTCCGTGCCAGGATTATTTTGAGATATTACTATTTGATGTTATTAAGAATTTATTAATTCATCTTCAAGAAGGCTTCCAAATTTTATTATACAATTTTTTTTTGTTACCCAATTCATCAAGGGTTTAAACATTCTCATGTAACAAATAAATAATACATAAAAATATCAAGAAGAGAGATAATCAAATGAATGTCTGACCATGAATTATTCGATTCAATGAAATTAAGAACATTCATCCCAATATAACCCCATACAAAGGAAAATGTGGGTAAAGACGTTGATAAGAGGAAAAATACTTGAAGATATGATTAAACTTTATGAATATAAAACAAACCAACCAATTATGAAATATATATATATATATATATATATATATATATATATATATAAAAGAACTTTTAGATTACATAATAAAGGGTTAAATATGTTTTTCGTCCCTTAAGTATTACACGATTTTGGGTTAGTTCCTACTCGAAACTTTGATGGCTTTTAGTCCTCGTGGTTTTGAAACTCTTACTATTAGTCCTAAAAAATGAACGGCGTTAACTTTTGTATGATGTGGCAAACATCAAGGACACGTCTTATCGAGCTTTCCTCTTCACTCTCTGCCACGTTGATGGTTTAATTTTTGAAATGAAATTAGGTATGTTTATTTGGAGGGATCGAGCTCTCGATCAACCAAAGGGGAGAGAAAACCAATCAAGAGATTGAGGAGGTAGATTCCGAGGCCATAAGAGACAATGTAAAACCCCTGCACATAAACAATACACAAGACGTAGATGGATGCCATGACCAATGTCCCAATCCATCTGTAGGCGGAATGGGGGTAGATTTGTCGAGATAGTACTGAAACAACTTAGAGAACTCCTGCAAATATTGCTTCACCTGTGCAGACGACGGAGCAGCGCCACCGCCATCGCCACTGCCACTTCCCTCCATTACAACGGATTCTGACGCTTCAAATTTAGAATCTCAACAAACGAAAGCAATCGTTCACTGTTAATGTTATTTATCAAGGTTTATAAAATAAGGGAAAAGGAGATCTGGGAGGGTAGTGAGGTTCATGTTTCTATAATTGTTTCCAAAATGAAATAATAAAAAAAAATAAGGGTTTTCTGATGTTGAGATTATGAGTATTTCCTCTACCTTGACCGAGAATTCATGGATGGAATTTTCCGAGACTGATAACGAAGAAGAGCAAAACAAAACCTATCAACTTACCTCCTCAAGAAGACGACCTTCAAATGTACCTCCTCAGCTTTCTTTGCCCTTAACTGCAATGATGAAGAAGAACCCAACTTCTTAAAATTTCATTTATGAGAGATGACGAAGTAAGGTTCAACCAAATTAAACATACTTAATCTCATTTCAAAAATTAAACAACCAACGTAGCAGAGAGTGAAGATGGAAGCTGGCATAAGAGTGTCCTCACCGTTTGCCACATCACACAAAAGTTAACGCCGTTCATTTTTAAGGACTAATAGTAAGAGTTTCAAAACTATGAGGACTAAAAGCCATCAAAGTTTCTAGTAGGGACTAAACCCAAAATCGTGTGATACTTAAGGGACGAAAAATATATTTAACCCCATAATAAATTATGAATATTTTATTAATTTAAACAAGAAAAAGTATGAAAAAGAAGATAGACATATATAGATGAGAATTATAGAGTATATCAATAATTTTTCATCTCCATATTCAATTTAAAAAATTGGGTTATAATATGTATCTATTTGTCATTATTATGTGTATGAAAAGTATTTTGAAAATCTCATATCAACCAAAATAAAAGATCCATATATAAATAGAGAAAAATTTAACTTTAATGAGTCAATTTTAAAAATTAATTTCTTAATAATTTTAGAGACTACGTTTTACATTTAATTAGTACTAACATATTCTTAATATGCTACCTATTCAATATGAAAAACCGTCTTAGTGTGTTGAAAAAAAATATTTTCCTTTTCTTGCTTTTACGATATAAAACATTAACAATACATAATACATGTATAAAATTATGTAATAATAAGAATTATATAAAAATGCATCAATAGTTTGATTCCTCCATCATCTTTCACAATTCTTCACAGCACTTGCTACTTTCTCTAAATCAGACAACATATCACAATATTGCACCTTAAAAATTAACTGCATGGCAGCTAATAGTTCACACTTTTTGTTTCAAACCCTAATCCAGATTACGATGACAATGCAGTCACGAGAAGTACTCCAAGAACAACACCCACTTTTCATGCACATTGATTTCTGTAGTGCCAGACTTCTCCACTGTGGAATTAATCTCAGATGGTTTAGGGGTTGCAGCCGGTGGTGTAGGGGTAGGTTGTGGTGGTTTTAGAAGGGAAACAGCTGGTGATAACTGGGCTAAAGTGGTGGTGAAAAACAAAGATGAAAGGAGCATTGTTAGTGAGAAGGACAAGAAAAGTTGCTTTTTCATCATTTTTTTTATATGAAGGTTTGGATGATATTTGAAGTGATTTCAAATTATAGGAATTGTAATTGCAGTGTTCAGTTGATGAGTTGATGGCATGAAGGAGTAGGCTTTTATAGAGAAAGTTTGGAAGTGGGAGGAATTGATAGATAGGTGAAAGGCTCTTTTTTAAAACCTTAAATAGTGATTTATGAGCATACACACAAAGTTTCTAGCTGGCAAGGATATTGAGGTGTTGCATCAACATGATATATTGAAGTAAGGATGGACAGAGCAATGTCTTTTTATGATTGAAGGCCACACCATTCTCCCATCACGATCAATTGATTTTGTAAATTTTCTTGGTTTTTCTGACACCACTTTTATTATATAACATGTAATTTAGCAACATGTGTGAGTAGAATGGTACATATAAATTACTGCCATGTTGTTCTTCCTTTGTCACTGATATCAGTTGGGAGAAGGTGTTTTTTATTTTCCTTTTACCTTTATATCTTCCTAACATCTTTCTTGATTAATAACAAATTCAGGGAATGACTCTTAATTGGTTATCCAAAACAATGTTTTTGATGAATGTTACGGAAACGATTCAAGAAGACTTTTTAGTTTTGATTTTTCTCCAATTTATAAATTCTTAACAAAAAGAATTTAGAATATAAACATGTTGGAACAATTACGGTTTAACAAATGAATCGTGAACCATTGAAAGATTTTCGCCCTTTCTGTAACCTCAACACACCAGATACCAGGAACAGAGCAAAATTTAAACAAAAAAAGCAAAGAGAAATAAATTAACAGCATATTTGACATAGAAAACTGGAAGTGCAGCTGCGACATGGATCATCAATACCACATGGTTGCCACTGCCATCAAAGCTATGCCAAGTGACATAAACTTTGTTCCACCAAGGCCAACCAAACTCACTGCCCCAGATTTATTCTGATCCTGCTTTGTTTCGCCTTGATCATCCTCAGAAGAATTTTCCTTGGCAGCTTTGGGAGCCTTTGCAAGAGATGAAGGAGCCAAAGCTGGAGCCTTACTGGTGGCAAAGAAATCCAGAGGAAGAAGCACCTTGTCAACGTGATAAATCCCAAGTTTGTTATCAGAGTATACTACCCCAAGAATGGTGGCATTGACAACCCCAGTTGAAATGTTGACACTGTTACCTAATGCATTCACGTTGAGTGGAAGCCTTAGAGGGTCTTTACCAGCCACTGTTTGCACAGGGTTGCTCAGAGAATCAAAGTTTGAGCTTGAGACAAACTGTGGCAATATGTGGAACTGGACAAGTTCGATTTTCTGGCCTTCGTTGAGGGAGTTGAGGAAGCCAGCTTTGAGGTTTGAAAAGGCAGAATCGTCTGGTGCTAGAATGGTTATGCCCCCAGNGGCCAACCAAACTCACTGCCCCAGATTTATTCTGATCCTGCTTTGTTTCGCCTTGATCATCCTCAGAAGAATTTTCCTTGGCAGCTTTGGGAGCCTTTGCAAGAGATGAAGGAGCCAATGCTGGAGCTTTACTGGTTGCAAAGAAATCTAGAGGAAGTAGTACCTTGTCTACGTGATAAATCCCAAGTTTGTTATCAGAGTATACTACCCCAAGAATGGTGGCATTGACTACCCCAGTTGAAATGTTGACACTGTTACCTAATGCATTCACGTTTAGTGGAAGCCTTATAGGGTCTTTACCTGCCACTGTTTGCACAGGGTTGCTTAGAGAATCAAAGTTTGAGCTTGAGACAAACTGTGGCAATATGTGGAACTGGACAAGTTCGATTTTCTGGCCTTTGTTGAGGGAGTTGAGGAAGCCAGCTTTGAGGTTTGAAAAGGCAGAATCGTCTGGTGCTAGAATGGTTATGCCCCCAGTCTTGGCTGTTATGAGCTGTGAGTTGACGTTGTTGATGATTTCTGTGGTTTTGAGGAGGCGAATGAGGGTTGAGAACATTTTGGCCTTTTTGAGGATTCTGGTGATGTCATCAGGGACAGAGTCAGGAGAGTCTGGAGACTGAGGTAATGTGGGGACTAATGGTTTTGGTGATGGTGCTACAGCCTTTGGGGTATGGGGAGTTTTTGCTGCTGGGGCTTTTGGAGCTGCTGCAGGTGCTGGTGAAATGCTCAAGGCGGTAGACCAAAAGAGTAAGAACACTGATAAGGAGAAAATGGTTGCTTGTTTCATCCTCCAGTTGCCAATTGAAGCCTTTTGAGGGGTTTGATGATTTTGGAAGAATGTGAATGGTTTGAATTAATGATTATTGCAGTTTGTGTCTGATATGTTGGATTTGTGAAAAGAGAGGGCTTATATAGTGATTATAGGCCAAGGAAATGATAGGTTGGTGAAATGTTATGGCAGTGAAATTTGTTAGCTGGGGAGTATGAGGATATATTTCATCTGTCATGGAGAACAAGGATCACGATACATATTGTGTGGTTAGAATGATGAAGCCTTGTTTCTAATTCCTGAAATAAAACTCTTTAAGACACAGGTAATAATCACACTATTGTATTGGTGAGAGAGGTGTATTGAGTTGACAGGGAGAACATTAAGATGTGAACCATGAATATGTGAACTGAACTATTATGCCTTCATTCATGTCAAATGTCAAATGTTATTGTCAGGATTCATCATATATACCAAATTGGATGCATGCATATACATTTTAAAATGTAATTTAAAAGGTGGCTTACTAACATAATAGAAAATGATATGGCCAAAATGATGAAGACCTCCGTTTTGGAAATTAAACGGGTCCAATCAAAGAATTGCATTCTTTCAGTATCTTTGAATAAATATTCTTATTAAATAATAAATAACTTCATTGTTAACATAATAAATGCATTCACTCTTTTATTAACTAGTAACAATACAAATTGGGATTGTAAAGACTTGCCAAGAAGAAGTGATTGTATTTGCCAAAACAATAATTACTATATGGTTGGTCGGTCTTATATATATATATATATATATATATATATATATATATATATATATATATATATATATATATATATATATATATATATATATATCATTACTTTTTATGTTTTTATGAGAAAAGAGCATGGTTTTTTGCAGAGTGGTATAATTGGGATATATTTGAAAATTGATAATTGAATAGTTGATGTGAAAATCGATGGAAAATCTTATAGAATATCCTCCCATATACAAGTATAGAAGAGAATATGATATTTGAGTTAATACTTTTTGCCGGATCAATTTGTATTTAAAGACTTTTTGAATGTAAGTTAAAATATCAAAAGATATTAAAATAAATAAAAATGTATGGTTGATTAATTTCAATCAATTATAACCACATATTTGACACACATTCGGGTTAGATTTATAAAAATTGTTTAGTAATGTAAGACACAATTACTGGAGATTTATTTTATACGAATTAGATTTGATAATTTCATTTGCTTTATTATTATTATCACGAAACCGTGTATCTTTTTTAGATGCTCGTGTAAATAAAATACTTTCTTAAAGAATGTTAAACACTGTCGACGGAAGCAAAATTTTTTTTAATCTTAATTAAGTACCTAAATCATATATTAATGAATATGAGTTATGTAATACATTAAAGGACATGTAAATTATATTTATTACTTGCTTAAATAGTATTTACACTTGATCAAGAATGTTCTTATACACATTGTTAACCTTCTCATTACTAAGAAAAGAAAAACAAAATTGCAGAAAGCATCTGATGAAGTAACCTTTTAACAGTTTAGTTTGTAACTTTTCATCCATACATCTTCATTGATGCAACACCTCAATCTCCTTTGCCAGCTACTAACTCATTGTATGATCACAAATCACATTTCAAGATTTTCAAACAAAACCTCTCACCTACCTTTCACTGTCTCCCACTCCCAGACATGTTATATAAAAACCATCTCCACCACCATATCAATTCATCCACTGCACATTGCATATACAAATCCTACCATTTCCATTCCTTTCTTATATCTTCCTAACCATTATCATCTAAAAATACCAAAAGATGATGAAAAACCAATGTCTTCTGTCTTTCTCAGTAGCACTGCTAGTTTCATTTTTGTATTCCACCACCACTTTAGCCCAATTATCACCAGCTTCTGCCCCTCTTAAACCAGTTCAACCTACTCCTACTCCACCAGCTGAGGCTCCTAAACAGCCATTGGTTCCCTCATTGCCACAGTCACCAAGTGATGCCACTCCCGACACTTCAGCTGTTGACATTGTTGGAATTCTGAGGCAGGCCAAGTCATTCAACATCCTTATTCGCCTCATGAAAACCACCCAATTGATCAACCAACTCAATGCACAGCTCCTCACCACTAAGTCAGGTGGCATCACCATTCTTGCACCTGATGACAGTTCCTTCTCTCAACTCAAAGCAGGCTTCCTCAACTCTCTTTCTGATGGCCAAAAGCTCGAGCTCTTACAATTCCATGTTCTGTCAGACTATGTTTCTAGCTCCAACTTTGATACTCTAACCAACCCTGTGAGAACGCTTGCAGGAGCTAAACCTGGAAAAGTGGAACTGAACGTGATAAGTTACGGAGGCAGTGTGAACATCTCAACGGGTGAGGTTAACACCACCATCACTGGCATTGTATACACAGATAAACATCTTGCTATTTACAAGGTGGGTAAGGTGCTTCTTCCTATGGAATTTTTTACTGTTGCTAAAGCACCAGCAAAGGGACCCTCTTTGGCACCAGAACCTTCAGCAAAGGCTCCTAAAGCGGATAAGGAGAAGCCACTGTCTCCAGATTCCTCAGAATCATCTGAAATTAATTCCACAAGCGACAACTCTGGCACTGTGAACATCAACGTACGAGGAAAGTGGGTGTCCCTTGTTCTTGGAGGACTTATCCTGCTTGCATTGTCATCATGAACCAAAGCAGGATTTGATGAATTTACAAACTGTTGTGAGTCTCTGTTTTCAGAGACTTTTCTGTTACACTGTGTTATCAGTTTTAACTGATAACAGTTTATTTTCTTGCTACATATACATGAGCTATCTTGTATCTTGGAAGCCTGCTTTTCATAAATAAAAAACAAGTTTTTCAGCTTTAAAGTTCTTATATGCATGAAGTTGATATAGTTTTCTTAATTATGTAATTATAAAAAACTATGCATCAGGTATAATAATTCCACACTTTGAATATATACCATAGTGCTGTTACTTAGTACTCAGTTAATATTTAATTAAGTATGTTATGTATGTTATCAGTGACTACTGGTGAACTAACAAAACCGGCAAATGTAACCCATAGATACACAATAGTAAGTGATACTAATTCATCCACTATTCCTATATTTACTTAAAATCGAGATTAAAAGTTTAAATATATTTTTCTCCAAAAATATTTTTAGATATACGATGATTGATCTAAAGTATTTTTATTTAATGTTTGTCAAGTTGTTTTATGTAGTAAGTATTTCTTGAGAAATATTATTAATAGATGATAAATAATAATTAACAACATAAAGAATAGGTTGCATTACAATAATTCATCTTTTAAATTATTATTTTTAATTACTAAAGAATTTTATTTTTTTAATGTTGAACCAATTTTCTTTTAACAAAATGATTCTTAGAATAGAGTGGAAGAGATTATTCACTTTACATTTTATATTAAGTTTAAACGAAGAACATTTTTTAATATAAAATGTTTTTATTGTAAGTAATAAATACCGAAATTGAAACTTTAATGAATAAAAGAAGAGTAGCTCAAAAAACGAAATTAATAAAGCATATATATGATAGTGTTGAATTTCTTATCTCTATGGTTTGGGAGTTCTCCATAATCTCCTGTATATATTATGTTTTTGTGGTATAGCTAAACCTATTTGTTTGGGATAAGTGAACTTCAATGTAATATACAGATTTCTGAATCGGTTTAATGCAAAATTGATTTCTTTTATTTTGTTTGTGTTCTATATGTTCACAATTAATTTAATAAAGTTTGTGAGAAGCCCCTTTGATGTTTAATATATATTAAAATTATTTTGTTAATAAAATTTGATTGTGAAAATAATATTTAAGCTTCACTTTTCCCCATAAAATAGTTTGTTAGTTTTAGAAATTTCTAACTCATTCTTTAAGGATATTAGTTAAAAAATTATAAATAAAAATATTTCATTGGAATACTAAAACTGTTGCATTTTTTAGGATTCTTTAATGCACTTACATATTCATTTCAAAAAGAAAATATTTTGACTCCATTATATTAACTAATTCTCTAATAACACTGATTAACAAAAACTATTTTGATTATTAATGATATTTTTGGTTCGTTATTTTACTTATGAATTTCAATTAGTAATTTGTCTTTTAAAAATTCAATTTGATTCTTCATATATGTGGATAAATTTGTTTTATTTTAAAATAATTATCATTTTTTTCCTGGCCAAACTTTATTCTTTGGTCGCATTAAAGTAGTATGACGTGAAATCTTAATATATTAGTACACCAAGTTTATGAAAAAAAAAGTATTTCTTTTAAGATTCAATAACTAAATTTTTTTCTATTAGACTCATGGCTAATATAAAAAATATAGAATTCAAATTAATAATAATCGTAGATCTAGTGAAAATAGAATAAAACTATATGGGTCCAACCATGAACTAATTAAAAATTGAAAAATGAATTGTATACTTTTATTTTTATTGTTCGGAACTCGATTTCCTCGTAAAATTCACTTCAATTTATAGTAATTTTTGTTTGTCAATTGAGTTTCATAGTTTATTATGTAGGTTGATCAAATATGACAAATTTCAGGTCAAGAATCGGTCAGAAAAGGACACATATTGAGATGATTTTTGAAAGAGAAATGATCAAACTAAAACTTATATATAAGATAAAAGAGACCAAAACTTCAATTCAATCTATTATTTTTTATAGCCTTTGTTGAGAATATAAACACAGCGTATTGTTTTTTTACTTCCTTTTTAAATATTTTGCATATGCGTGCCGTACCCTTTTAATGCTTACAATAAATAACCTTTCTCTTTTCCCATGTTTATCAATTTCAACTAACAACTTCTTTTATTTCCACAGCTAATTAAAGGAGTATCTTTCAAACAAGAGGCCAAACAGCAACATGATGTGCAAAAAAGACACAAGAAATCGATGGATGAACCTAACTAGCCAAACATTGATTCTTGACAAACTTGTTTTTTCTGTCTGTCCTGAAAGCTGTCTGCTTTTAAATTTTATTCCTTTCTTTCCACATTGTTTACAAGACTTTTTCAATTCATTTCTATCTTTCAAGAAAAGTAACTGTGTTGAGATGAGTTCAGAAAATATAAATAAGAGAGAAAGTGTTTAATCAAAGAACCATAAAAGTAGTTAGATAATTAAAATTTGATACAAGTGATTGTAGTTAATGAAGCTTATAATATTGAAAATGACTTGAAAAACAAATTAAAAAAGAAGTTATCCATAACATGAGGAAATAAATTATAGAAAAAGATATGTATAAGGTGTTAATGAAAAAGGAAAAAGATTATTGAGTTTGAGTATCGCTTCTCTTTCTGGAAAAGTAACAGTGGAATGAGCAGAATCTGTGTTGATTCTTAAGTCCGTTTTAGCACTTGTTTTGCTTCCAGTACTACAGCAAAACGCAAAGAGGGTATCATTCCCTTGTTGCTTTTGTTTGTTCTTTTTGCACTAACAATTCCAGAAGGCAATGAGAGCATCACAGACTCTGTTTGTTTTGCTTTGGTTCTTCTGCATTTATGCCCCTTCTTCGTTTTCCACAAATGTCACTTACGACCATAGAGCATTGGTCATTGATGGCAAGCGCCGAGTCTTGGTCTCTGGTTCTATCCACTACCCTCGTAGCACTCCAGAGGTTCTCTTCATTACCCTCTTTCTGTGTCTCTGTAATGTTTCATGTACACTATTTTTTCCTTTGTTTTTGAAGTTGGAGTCAAAAGGGGTGGTGTTTTTTTGTTTCAGATGTGGCCAGACATCATTCAAAAGTCCAAAGATGGAGGACTTGATGTGATTGAGACTTATGTTTTCTGGAACTTACACGAACCAGTTCAAGGCCAGGTCCTCTTCTTTCTAGTTCTGTTAACGTTATTATTACTATTACCATTCTTGTATAGTTTCTGTTGTTCACTGCTTTTTGCATTGCATTGTGTTCGTTTTTCAAACATGCTCAGTAATCAAAACCGAAAATAAGTATATGCAGCTTAGGAAAGTAAATGATCACTGCTTCACATATTTTTCTGAGTTAATAAGAACAATGAGACAAAGGGTATTTCTTAATGTCAATCAGAAGCTTAAATTTATGAAGAAATCAATGATGGAATATGTGCTTTGGCTTGGCAGTATAATTTTGAAGGTAGGGCAGATTTGGTTGAATTTGTGAAGACAGTAGCAGCAGCAGGCCTATATGTGCATCTCCGGATTGGTCCATACGCATGTGCTGAATGGAACTACGGGTAAAATATGATCTTTATATGTATTTTTTCACAAAGAAGTTCATATCTGATCATGGCCTTTAACTTTTTTGAGCAGCGGTTTCCCTCTTTGGCTACATTTTATACCAGGAATTCAGTTCCGAACTGATAACAAACCATTTGAGGTTATTATTCCTTTCCTTTCTCCTTGTCTCATTTTGCTAAATCTTCTTCCCGTTATCATGTGAAATTGAATTGTTTTCAGAAAGAAATGAAGCGGTTCACCGCTAAAATTGTAGATATGATGAAGCAAGAGAACCTCTATATGTCACAGGGAGGACCTATTATTTTGTCTCAGGTTTTTCTTAAATTTTACTGAATACATTTTTCTTATGCACATGTCGTGATATACAGAGAGTTCTGAATTTCTAATAGCCTACTGCCAACTTTTAAATGTGAAAATGCTATGAACAGATTGAAAATGAGTATGGGAACATTGATGCGGATTATGGTCCAGCTGCTAAATCCTACATCAAATGGGCAGCATCAATGGCAACATCTCTTGATACAGGGGTTCCTTGGGTAATGTGCCAACAGCTAGATGCTCCAGATCCAATTGTAAGTTTTCTTCTTTTAGCCATCAACAATTATGCTGAACAGTTTATGTTTTAGCTGTCTTCTAGTGTTATTTATTTGTTTTACACCGTTGTTTGTTTTCTTGATGCCTGAATTGAGCAATCTTACTATCTTGCTGTCAACAATTATCCTAATCCATTATTAATTTCACATTTTGTCATATCAACCACTCTCAGATTAACACATGCAATGCATTTTACTGTGACCAATTCCAACCGAATTCTAAGGCAAAACCAAAAATATGGACTGAGGGTTATACTGGATGGTTAGTGTCCTTTTCTGTAAAAAATTTTAGTCATTTGAAAGTAATACTCAAAATATGATCTGACTGATAATATCTCCATTCGCATTCAACTCTAATTTTGTTTTTCTTCCANGACAGTTTTATATATATATATATATATATATATATATATATATCATTACTTTTTATGTTTTTATGAGAAAAGAGCATGGTTTTTTGCAGAGTGGTATAATTGGGATATATTTGAAAATTGATAATTGAATAGTTGATGTGAAAATCGATGGAAAATCTTATAGAATATCCTCCCATATACAAGTATAGAAGAGAATATGATATTTGAGTTAATACTTTTTGCCGGATCAATTTGTATTTAAAGACTTTTTGAATGTAAGTTAAAATATCAAAAGATATTAAAATAAATAAAAATGTATGGTTGATTAATTTCAATCAATTATAACCACATATTTGACACACATTCGGGTTAGATTTATAAAAATTGTTTAGTAATGTAAGACACAATTACTGGAGATTTATTTTATACGAATTAGATTTGATAATTTCATTTGCTTTATTATTATTATCACGAAACCGTGTATCTTTTTTAGATGCTCGTGTAAATAAAATACTTTCTTAAAGAATGTTAAACACTGTCGACGGAAGCAAAATTTTTTTTAATCTTAATTAAGTACCTAAATCATATATTAATGAATATGAGTTATGTAATACATTAAAGGACATGTAAATTATATTTATTACTTGCTTAAATAGTATTTACACTTGATCAAGAATGTTCTTATACACATTGTTAACCTTCTCATTACTAAGAAAAGAAAAACAAAATTGCAGAAAGCATCTGATGAAGTAACCTTTTAACAGTTTAGTTTGTAACTTTTCATCCATACATCTTCATTGATGCAACACCTCAATCTCCTTTGCCAGCTACTAACTCATTGTATGATCACAAATCACATTTCAAGATTTTCAAACAAAACCTCTCACCTACCTTTCACTGTCTCCCACTCCCAGACATGTTATATAAAAACCATCTCCACCACCATATCAATTCATCCACTGCACATTGCATATACAAATCCTACCATTTCCATTCCTTTCTTATATCTTCCTAACCATTATCATCTAAAAATACCAAAAGATGATGAAAAACCAATGTCTTCTGTCTTTCTCAGTAGCACTGCTAGTTTCATTTTTGTATTCCACCACCACTTTAGCCCAATTATCACCAGCTTCTGCCCCTCTTAAACCAGTTCAACCTACTCCTACTCCACCAGCTGAGGCTCCTAAACAGCCATTGGTTCCCTCATTGCCACAGTCACCAAGTGATGCCACTCCCGACACTGCAGCTGTTGACATTGTTGGAATTCTGAGGCAGGCCAAGTCATTCAACATCCTTATTCGCCTCATGAAAACCACCCAATTGATCAACCAACTCAATGCACAGCTCCTCACCACTAAGTCAGGTGGCATCACCATTCTTGCACCTGATGACAGTTCCTTCTCTCAACTCAAAGCAGGCTTCCTCAACTCTCTTTCTGATGGCCAAAAGCTCGAGCTCTTACAATTCCATGTTCTGTCAGACTATGTTTCTAGCTCCAACTTTGATACTCTAACCAACCCTGTGAGAACGCTTGCAGGAGCTAAACCTGGAAAAGTGGAACTGAACGTGATAAGTTACGGAGGCAGTGTGAACATCTCAACGGGTGAGGTTAACACCACCATCACTGGCATTGTATACACAGATAAACATCTTGCTATTTACAAGGTGGGTAAGGTGCTTCTTCCTATGGAATTTTTTACTGTTGCTAAAGCACCAGCAAAGGGACCCTCTTTGGCACCAGAACCTTCAGCAAAGGCTCCTAAAGCGGATAAGGAGAAGCCACTGTCTCCAGATTCCTCAGAATCATCTGAAATTAATTCCACAAGCGACAACTCTGGCACTGTGAACATCAACGTACGAGGAAAGTGGGTGTCCCTTGTTCTTGGAGGACTTATCCTGCTTGCATTGTCATCATGAACCAAAGCAGGATTTGATGAATTTACAAACTGTTGTGAGTCTCTGTTTTCAGAGACTTTTCTGTTACACTGTGTTATCAGTTTTAACTGATAACAGTTTATTTTCTTGCTACATATACATGAGCTATCTTGTATCTTGGAAGCCTGCTTTTCATAAATAAAAAACAAGTTTTTCAGCTTTAAAGTTCTTATATGCATGAAGTTGATATAGTTTTCTTAATTATGTAATTATAAAAAACTATGCATCAGGTATAATAATTCCACACTTTGAATATATACCATAGTGCTGTTACTTAGTACTCAGTTAATATTTAATTAAGTATGTTATGTATGTTATCAGTGACTACTGGTGAACTAACAAAACCGGCAAATGTAACCCATAGATACACAATAGTAAGTGATACTAATTCATCCACTATTCCTATATTTACTTAAAATCGAGATTAAAAGTTTAAATATATTTTTCTCCAAAAATATTTTTAGATATACGATGATTGATCTAAAGTATTTTTATTTAATGTTTGTCAAGTTGTTTTATGTAGTAAGTATTTCTTGAGAAATATTATTAATAGATGATAAATAATAATTAACAACATAAAGAATAGGTTGCATTACAATAATTCATCTTTTAAATTATTATTTTTAATTACTAAAGAATTTTATTTTTTTAATGTTGAACCAATTTTCTTTTAACAAAATGATTCTTAGAATAGAGTGGAAGAGATTATTCACTTTACATTTTATATTAAGTTTAAACGAAGAACATTTTTTAATATAAAATGTTTTTATTGTAAGTAATAAATACCGAAATTGAAACTTTAATGAATAAAAGAAGAGTAGCTCAAAAAACGAAATTAATAAAGCATATATATGATAGTGTTGAATTTCTTATCTCTATGGTTTGGGAGTTCTCCATAATCTCCTGTATATATTATGTTTTTGTGGTATAGCTAAACCTATTTGTTTGGGATAAGTGAACTTCAATGTAATATACAGATTTCTGAATCGGTTTAATGCAAAATTGATTTCTTTTATTTTGTTTGTGTTCTATATGTTCACAATTAATTTAATAAAGTTTGTGAGAAGCCCCTTTGATGTTTAATATATATTAAAATTATTTTGTTAATAAAATTTGATTGTGAAAATAATATTTAAGCTTCACTTTTCCCCATAAAATAGTTTGTTAGTTTTAGAAATTTCTAACTCATTCTTTAAGGATATTAGTTAAAAAATTATAAATAAAAATATTTCATTGGAATACTAAAACTGTTGCATTTTTTAGGATTCTTTAATGCACTTACATATTCATTTCAAAAAGAAAATATTTTGACTCCATTATATTAACTAATTCTCTAATAACACTGATTAACAAAAACTATTTTGATTATTAATGATATTTTTGGTTCGTTATTTTACTTATGAATTTCAATTAGTAATTTGTCTTTTAAAAATTCAATTTGATTCTTCATATATGTGGATAAATTTGTTTTATTTTAAAATAATTATCATTTTTTTCCTGGCCAAACTTTATTCTTTGGTCGCATTAAAGTAGTATGACGTGAAATCTTAATATATTAGTACACCAAGTTTATGAAAAAAAAAGTATTTCTTTTAAGATTCAATAACTAAATTTTTTTCTATTAGACTCATGGCTAATATAAAAAATATAGAATTCAAATTAATAATAATCGTAGATCTAGTGAAAATAGAATAAAACTATATGGGTCCAACCATGAACTAATTAAAAATTGAAAAATGAATTGTATACTTTTATTTTTATTGTTCGGAACTCGATTTCCTCGTAAAATTCACTTCAATTTATAGTAATTTTTGTTTGTCAATTGAGTTTCATAGTTTATTATGTAGGTTGATCAAATATGACAAATTTCAGGTCAAGAATCGGTCAGAAAAGGACACATATTGAGATGATTTTTGAAAGAGAAATGATCAAACTAAAACTTATATATAAGATAAAAGAGACCAAAACTTCAATTCAATCTATTATTTTTTATAGCCTTTGTTGAGAATATAAACACAGCGTATTGTTTTTTTACTTCCTTTTTAAATATTTTGCATATGCGTGCCGTACCCTTTTAATGCTTACAATAAATAACCTTTCTCTTTTCCCATGTTTATCAATTTCAACTAACAACTTCTTTTATTTCCACAGCTAATTAAAGGAGTATCTTTCAAACAAGAGGCCAAACAGCAACATGATGTGCAAAAAAGACACAAGAAATCGATGGATGAACCTAACTAGCCAAACATTGATTCTTGACAAACTTGTTTTTTCTGTCTGTCCTGAAAGCTGTCTGCTTTTAAATTTTATTCCTTTCTTTCCACATTGTTTACAAGACTTTTTCAATTCATTTCTATCTTTCAAGAAAAGTAACTGTGTTGAGATGAGTTCAGAAAATATAAATAAGAGAGAAAGTGTTTAATCAAAGAACCATAAAAGTAGTTAGATAATTAAAATTTGATACAAGTGATTGTAGTTAATGAAGCTTATAATATTGAAAATGACTTGAAAAACAAATTAAAAAAGAAGTTATCCATAACATGAGGAAATAAATTATAGAAAAAGATATGTATAAGGTGTTAATGAAAAAGGAAAAAGATTATTGAGTTTGAGTATCGCTTCTCTTTCTGGAAAAGTAACAGTGGAATGAGCAGAATCTGTGTTGATTCTTAAGTCCGTTTTAGCACTTGTTTTGCTTCCAGTACTACAGCAAAACGCAAAGAGGGTATCATTCCCTTGTTGCTTTTGTTTGTTCTTTTTGCACTAACAATTCCAGAAGGCAATGAGAGCATCACAGACTCTGTTTGTTTTGCTTTGGTTCTTCTGCATTTATGCCCCTTCTTCGTTTTCCACAAATGTCACTTACGACCATAGAGCATTGGTCATTGATGGCAAGCGCCGAGTCTTGGTCTCTGGTTCTATCCACTACCCTCGTAGCACTCCAGAGGTTCTCTTCATTACCCTCTTTCTGTGTCTCTGTAATGTTTCATGTACACTATTTTTTCCTTTGTTTTTGAAGTTGGAGTCAA